AAACTTGATAGAAGTTTCTCCTTTGCTTTCTCAGTAATACAGTTAGGTGTATTGAAACCTTTTGAGAGGATATGCTATACTTCATTAAATAAAGAAGTTTAACAGTCAGTCTTAATAATAAATGTTACCAAACCCCTGTAAGACTGTACTTGTTTGCATTGCATTGTTGCATTGATACACACTATCAAAATTATATCATTGAAAATATCCCTCAGCTTAAAGTATTCCAACTTTACAAAATATAATGGCATTTTTTAACATTCAGCATGGTATTTCAACCATGAGATATCCAATATATAGTGTAAAGTTCTTAGCAATACAGTATGATTTTAACCGTAGAGAAATATATTTCACTCTTCAAAGACTAATATGTGATAATCATATTTTTACATACATGACTTTCTTTCAGGGAGTAATAAAATAACTAAAAAAAGAGAAAGAACTGCATGTACATTGTTAATCATCCTTTTCTTTAATAACAAAGGATTTCAATATAAATATTTGTCATATAGTAAATTATTGTGTAAATCAGTATTCATGCAAAATATTTCATATCTAATACAAAATTAAACAGTATTACAAGTAAGTGACACACCTTATACATTTTTACAGTGGCTCAATATTCTACGAAGCCTTTCATATAAACTTGTTTTGTATAGATTAAAAAAAAATCTTATAAAATAGATTCATGTACAGGAACATCTATTTTACCTGATGCAGATCTAAATCAGAATTTTCACCTAAAAATAAATATACATTTGGGAGCTTTTGCTAGTATCTGCAATGATATGTGAATTATATAAAATTTTTGCCATGTTTTAGGAATGAAAGTCACTTTGAAAATATTAGGAAAATGGTTTTATGAATCAATGGAATGACTGATATTTCATATATCATGGAATGAATGAACTTAAGAGACAAAATAATTTTCTAAAGTAAAAAGCCTTGCTCAAAATCATTTCCTTTGGACAATCCACCATTGGGCTGCATATGCACAGTTAATACATGATTTGCAATATGGATATTGTAAGACTAAAACTAAGTCACAAACTTCCTATTGTTCCTTATATTGCACGCAAAAAGGATCGATGAAAGACATGTTACAACAGTTGAACTATTCCTTCTCCACCTCTTCCTCCCTCCTCACTGCTTTTCCTCCTCCCTTTTCACTGCTCCTCCTCCTCCCTTTTCACTGCTTTTCCTTCTCCATTCTCACTGATCATCTTTCTTATCCTTTCTCCTCGCTGCTCCTCCTTCTCCCTCCTTGCTGCTTATCCTTCCTATCCCTTCTCACTGCTCCTTCTCCCTCCTCACTGCTTATCCTTCTCCCTCTCCTCCCTCTTCACTGCTTCTCCTCCCCCTCCCCCTACTCCTTCTTCCTCTTGACTGTGCACTCAGTTCTGGTGGAACCTGAAGTTGAAAAAAGGGAACATTAGACAACTGTTGTACATGCAGTTCATGGTGTCAGGAATTAAGAGTCTTGGAGAAAAGATTGCTGGAAAAGGTGAAGTTTCATATGATGATGGTGATTATGATGAGGAGGAGGAGGAACAAGATGTAAATTCTATCCACCAGGAATTGACCTTCACAATTTTTTTCTTTAAATTTATTTTTTTTTTTTTGGTTTTGTTTTGTAAAAGGCTATTTCTGTAAAGAAACAAGGACAAAGACACTTTTGTGACTAATACCTAAAGGACACATTTACATCTTCGTTCCAAATCCAAATGAAGAATCACTCCAAAGAACTTTCATTCTTTCTCTCTTAACAGTGTCATAATTTTTACAACTAAAATTTCCACACTCCAAGAGAGGTTGAAAATAGAAGGTGAAAAAATTCTAATACTGGGGCATCCCTGAAACTGTGACCCCAAAATCATCACCCGCATCCTACGACCTAAACTCACCTGGATAGTTTGTGTTGCTGCAAAGCTGAAAATATAACTGGTAAAAAGTTCCTTTGCTTCTGTGAATTATCTTTTTGCCTTTTATTTTTTTATCTTTTTACATATCATGGCAATATATTCCACTTTAACTATATATAGATTTGTACCAGTGAATCCTGTTTTCTGGAAAGTGTCAATCTTTATGCACAGTCAACGATCTGAGAAGCAAATGAACCATTTTTCCCAGAATACAAAAAGAAAGAAATATGGGGATGTTCTGAGCTTACTACTTTATCAGTATTTTTTTTTTTTTTTTTTTTTTTTACATCTGTGTTTTTCTGTTTTGTTTTTATAACACAAATGGGACACACACCATAATAGAGAAATAGGAGATGTGTCCTGATACTGATAAAGCATAAGCTCAGAAAGGTAATTAGTGTGAACTCAAAACTGGTCTCCTTTTGAAAAAATAAGGACTTCATTGAAACTTGACTCTTAAAGAATGCAAAAAGAAATAAAAATAGAGAGAAACAATTGACTATGAGTCCCAAGCCAAATTAAGATTCCATTTTTGAGAGCCACTACATGAGGTGAGAGTGAGGTGACTGAGAGAGTCGGCTTCTGACTAAGGTGCATCCTGTAGTTTAGAGGACCCAGGAAGAGGTGCTCATTTCCTGAAATGAATGAGAAAAAACACATAGTTCGTTATTCTTATTCATTTAAGGTTAGTCAATTCAGTACAGCTGCCAGAAAAAAGATAGAATGAAGTGCATGTATGTGCCATCATGCTTCATATATTTTTTTTAAGTTGTAACAAAAATTAACATATGCAAAGCAGACATATCAGTGATTATTTTCTAAATGGATTTAGAACCACAACCTACAAGTGGCTTATCTCATTTGATCCAGTGAATTTGCTGGTAGGCTCTTCTAACTTCTGCAAACAGTATTTATCACAATCATATGTAGTAAAGTCTGATAAAATACAAATTCATCCAAAGATCTTGCAGATAATGCTAATCACAGCACACCACAAACAAACAAAAATAATGACAGTTATAATAAAAATAAACATGATAAAAATATGGCCCACATGCTACACCAATTCACTAAAAGGTAAACCCATCAGAATACATAATTATCTCCCGCGAAAAAAATAGAAGGAACGTACTTTGAGCGCAGGCTATCATATTTCGCAAAGGCCTCATCGATGTCTACATAACATCCCTGGAGATGTCTGTTGGAGAAAGAATGGGTTAAAGATTATCATTCACTTAAAATCTATATAATACACTGCAATAAATATCTATCTATCTATCTATCTATCTATCTATCTATCTATCTATCTATCTATCTATCTATCTATCTATATCTATATATATATATATATATATATATATATATATATTATATATATATATATGTATATGTATGTATGTATGTATGTATATATGTATATATGTATGTATGTATATATATATATATATATAATATATATATATATATATATGTATATATGTATGTATGTATGTATGTATGTATGTATGTATGTATGTATGGTATGTATGTATGTATGTATGTATGTGTATATGTATATATATATATATATATATATATATATATATATATATATAATCAATTTAAAAGACACAGAACTGAATGCATATATGGAACTGGAACCAAGACATGCAAAAAAAGAGATTTCTTCTTAAAATAAGACTTTTATGTTTCCCTATGGTCAGGAGTGGATAACAACCTAAATTTTGGAAAATGCAAATGAGAATAAAATCACCAAAGGGCTCAAGAGCCTCTGAAGTTGCTGCTAAGTGTTTTTTATGGTCATCCTTTTGATTTATTTTCCTCTCTCTCACCTGTCAACTTTAGAGGCATCAAAGGCAGTTCGGCCATGGAGAACTCTGCGGTTGTTGAACGCCACAAGGTCACCTGGTACCATGTTGAACTCCAATCCCATGGCAGGGTCACGCAAGCGCTCCGAGAACAGCTGTA